GTGACTTGCCCACAATTTTCGTTTTCTTTGTTTTGTTTGTATGTTATCTATACAGGCAGGGTACTGTGCTGTGCTCCTCTATTCACTAGTTGACAGCACTTATACACTCACCACCTGTCTCCTTTCCTTTGTCAGCCTCTCGTATGTCCTTGCCAACCCTGGCCAACAGAGCCTGTTCTTAGGTCTTGTTTTTGTTCAGGTTTTTCCACTAGTTGGTGCCTAATCCACTTCTGTATAGTTTCTTTTTAAGCTCAGGGTTCCAGGATTATCTTCTGTATCTCTGTCAATTGGTTTTTCTTTTCTTTATTGAAGAGAGTCTGTGTTGCTTGTCTGCCTATTCCTCCATCTTATCAGAAGTCTCCCATAAACTTCTTTACAAAGGGAAAAAACAAACCCACTGCCATCAAGTTGTCTTCCTCCCAGAGAGCAGCTGGTGGGTTGGAACCGCCAACCTTCCTGGTTAGCCTCCAAATGCCTCACCCACTGCACCACCAGATCTCCTTTTACAATGGGCAGGTATTTTAATTATTAAAGGAAGACCTCAGTTTTGGACCACTGCTTTCCCCCTCATCTCCTGCTATTAGCAGTGGCCTTTGGGACCCTGGACACAGACCTAAAGACCCACAGACCAAACTGGACCACCTCTTGTCCCATCGGTCTGATGGGAGGGACAGAGAGTGGGTAAAGAGTGTGGAGCCCTGCCACTTGTGGGCTGTTGTCCTTGAATACATTATTCTTTCCCTTCCTTGCCCACCCCTGCCCCTAAAGGGGGGAATAGAACAAAACCTCTTCGAAAACAAAACATAAGAGGCTTCACAGGACCCACAGATGATTCCCACTCCCTGAAAAGTGAAATGCATTTCATATACTCTTGTAACAAGTCCCCCTAGATCTGTGGTTTCCAGACATGGTGTTACCGGGAAAGGCTAGCTCTGAGTGTCCAATTTTTCAAATTTTGTCAAGAGAGTTAAAATAAATAAGTAAATAAAGATCTCCTATTATTATCCATTCATGAAGCCATCTAACCTCAAAATGGAGACAAGACATAATCTGAGATCAAAAAATACAATAGTTGAACATATGGAAAACTCTACTTCCATAGGGATACCGCCTGAGAAATCCAAGGAGGGGTCGCTATGAGTCAGATCCGACTCAATGGCAGGGCGTAACTATTATTATCCCTTTTTGTCCAGTTTTGCTGTAGACAGAAGATTGTGTCATCATAGGCCAACACTGGGAAGCACTGACCCAGACTGTCTAAAAAAAGGCAACAGGAAATCTAGCCTGAGACCCCCAGAGGGGTCTGGGGGAACCTGCAGGCCCACAGTGATGCCCTAACCCATACTCCTCAGGAGGGTAGAACCTAAAAAAAAAAAAAAAAAAAAACCCACTGCCATCGAGTCAATTCTAATTCATAGCGACCCTGATTGGGTTTCCAAGGCAGTAAATCTTTATGGAAGTAGATTGCCCCATCTTCCTTCTGCAGAGCAGCTGGTGGGCTTGAACCACCAATCTTCTGGTTAGCAGTCAAATGCTTTACGCCCTACACCACCAGAGCTCCTTCAGGAGGGTAGAGAACGTCCCAATTCACTGCCTAGGCTGTCAACAGGCAAAGTGGCTAGGCTTGTTTTTCTCTATCTCTGCACCACTT